TGTCGTTGTCGTGCCCTGCCTAGGAAGTAGCTACTATGCTCTGCGGGGGGCATTGACGTTGAAGTAGAGCGTCAATGAATTAAATATAACCTAGCCCAGCTCCCCCCAAGCCAAGCCAAGCCAAGCCAGCGCAAAACCGAACCCGAATACGACCCCAGACCCATTCGAAAATGTACACGCTGTGAGCTTTCCACTTGATTGCTGGCTGGCAACTCGCTGGCTTTCCCTTTTTCCCCCCATCAGCTGCCACTTCTTTGCCCCCCTCCACCCTCCACCCTCCGCTCATACTCAACGTTTGTCCTTGCCGAATGGAAGTTCGATTTACATTTCAACTGCAGCCGACAAAAGGCGTTACATGGCCTGACGTAAGCGCCTGAATAGATATTGCTATACCTATAGCTATATCTGTATAGGTACATAGAGATACATATGCAGACTACCTGCACAACATACACACAGACTTACCTCGTGTGTGCTTAAGTCTGTTAATATGTAACATGTAATACACTAAACATAACTTCCAGTAAATGGCTGCACTCTAGAGCTCTTCTTCTGCTTGGTTTCGCCTCGGGGAAAATTTAAAGAACTGTTAAAAATAGCATATATGGATGTTTTAAAAGAAGATAGTCAAGTGAATAAAGAGCAGATTCAAGCTATTTCAAAAACCAGCCGGTTCCAGCAGACCCCTTATTGTCGAGGCTTTAACCAGTTGCGAATTACAAGGGACAGGCAACGGAAAAAAGAAAGCACGCATAACAGAGTCAAGTCATAAAAATTGTAAACAATTTCTCAATCAAAAATTCCCCTTTAACTGAACATTGAACAAATACAACCAAAATGATGGCGCTTTGAAGGCGTTTCTCACTTCGAGAACACACGTGAAAATGTTGCATACTTAGCAGTTAGCTGGTAATGATATGAAACACGTAACATTTTGCACAACAAAACCATTTGACTGGCTGTTTATTTGTTAATTGAAGCAACAGCAAATATATGCATTGCCAAATGCCATATGCATAATGTTTGTGTAATCCGCCCCGACAACGATCCTCAGTTGCTGTCAAACTGTCCCAGCTGCACGTCCGTCCATTCGTCTATCCGTCCGTCTTTCTATCTGTATTTGCGCTATTCAATTCCATTGAAATGAGTGCGCTGCATATTAAAAGAGTCGCATAAATAAATAAGCATATTCAATTTTGATGAAACGTGAATGGTATCGAAATGTTTAACAAAACGTCGAACGTGACCTTGCCTGCAGTTATCAGCAGATGTCAAACATAAAATCTATATAAAAGGGTATCTATGCAATAAGGACACGATGCGGCACGGTTAACCCTATAAAGTACATTTACTCTTATTAACATAAAAGAGCTGCATTAGCGGGCTGTTGAGAGAGTCAGCAAATATGCGGTCTCTAAAATAGAGACTTTATTGAAGTAATGTGAAATAAATTTGCAGAAATTAAGGTCTGCGGGCTGCTAATTTTATACTTTATATGAAAAAGTTCAGCAATGCATAAAATAGGGTAAAGCATTAAAGCATGCGGTTGCTTTAATACAGATTTTAAGTTATTGATTTGTAATATTGTTCGTTATTAGTCTCGAGATATACGAGCTCTAACATAGCAACTTTATAAGTTGTGAACTGAAATAAACTTTAGGAATTAAGGTTTGCGGCCCTCAAAATATATACTTTATCTGAAAAACTATAGCAAAAATAAAGTGTTAAATAGAGTAAAGGCAGTAAGGCTTACGGTTTCTTTAATATAGATTTTAAGTTATTGATTATAATATTATCTAGATAGGCGGGCTCTAATATAGGAATACACAACTTATTTATGTTGTGATATAAAATAGACTTGAAGAACTAAGCTTTTTGGTCTATATAATATATACTAAGAAACGCTTTCCTTAATTAAGTTTTTATTGATAATAATATTGACTATTTATAGAGTCGTGAGATATACAGGCTCTATAATAGTAACTTTATCAGTAGGGGCTGTGATAAACTTAAAATAAACCTAATGAGTTAAGATACGAGGACCCCAAAATATATATAAAATTATGAGATTAGTTCAACAAATATGCTAAAGTATAAAAAAAGTTCCGTGTTTACCTTTAAGTAAGTAAGGAATAACAGTAACAGCTAAAGGAAACAAATACACATCCAACAAGCTCTTGCTACAGGGTATCTCTATATCATGCCCTACACTCTTTCGTTTTTTTTTCCTTTGGTAGCCTTGCCACAGCATGCCACAGTTTGTGGCAGGACGTGGCGTTAAGTGCCACAGCTAAAAGCTGCAATGCAGCTTAAACAAATTTAGACATTGGCTCAGCATAAGGCTTTATGATTTAGATACGCCAGTTGTATATTAAATAATTCACTTAATTGGCCCCCGAAGGGCCAAAAAGCAGCTAAATGCCAAAGTTAAAGTAAACACAGAAACCGCAACAGGCACGAGATATATGCTGCGCATATATACACAGGAGTAGCTGTCAAAATGACGAAATACACACTGGCAGGACCTTCAGGAATCAGAAATGGAAATTCTAAAGGTTGGGCGTGTGGGCAGGGGCGGGGCAGGGGCGGGGCAGGGGCGGCTAGTTCAAGTGGAGGTGTGGCCTGTGTTTATTGGCATTGCAGGCAAATAAATGTCTGCTGGTCTGCTTGTGCTATATACATATATATATATATCAAGATATCCATGTCCCTATATAAACTATATATATACTATATGTATAGCTGCATGTGGCAGATGGCAACCGTAGAATTTGTGGCTTTATGAATTGATCGCTGGTCACCGCAATTGTTGCCAATATAATTACGCACAAGTTATGTCTGCCTGCAAATTGGCAGCCCATGAATAGCTCATATGCAGCACACATATCTGACATATATATGACATACATACATATGTGTTTGTCTATCTGCATATGTATGTCCACTTGAATGTAAGCCAATTAAATTTGACAGTCGCCGCTGCAGGCTCTTCCATTAATTAAATTTCAAATAGTATGCAGCTCTCTAGTTATGCTTTGATTTTGGCCCTTTGTTAGCTTCTCTGGCAGCACGTTGAAGGATTTTCCCATTGTTGTTTTCCCAAAAAAGAAAAAAGAAAAGAAAAGTTAACTTCGAGTTTGCCGCACTCCGCGTTGGGATTAGAGCATTCCTTTTGGTCAGGTTTGCTGTTGTTGACCCACAGAGCTTGCGTGTCTCCTCCCTCCCCCCCCCCCCTCTCTCTCTCTCTGAGCCCCTCTCTCTTTTTCTTTGGGCGCCATTTTCAGTTTTCCTTTTTAACGGGCGTTCGCGTGTTTACTGCTTTTGTTTTGATACCCGCTCACCAAGTAAAAGGAGTATATTGGTTTGTCTGTCTAGCTGTTAGATTGGCTCAGACAAAAGGTTAAAATAACATGGCTAATCGGGCAATTCTTTAACAGAGAGTATTATGAAGTCGCTTACGCCCGACTGCAACTTACTCGTTTCTTTTTTTTTTGGCGTGCTTTTGAAACTTTATACTTGGCATTCGTATACGGTTCCAGGACTCAACTCGTGTAAGGACTGTGTGCGCTCACTTTAACCTTGAACCTGCCACATACCACATGCCACACACACACACACACGCACACACACTTGCCGAGTGCGTACTTAGATATTTCTATTTTCAGTTCATTAAATGAGATTTTCAGCACATTATTATTTACGCCAACATCTAATGCCGCGCACTTTCCAAGGATTTACTTGCTGTTTTCGGCGCTCGGCATCCACATTAGACAGCTGCAGCTGCAGCTGTACAATTGCAGAGCACTAGGCAAACAACTAACAAACAAATATGATCCGCTTGCCGAAGAATCCATATCCTTTCATTAAATTGTGTTTATAGCAGGGCTAGGCAGTATATGGATTGCGTTGATTAAAGCCCAAATTTGGCTTTGGCTTTTGGTGTGCAATATTCGAAATATTCGAACTTCTTTAAGCCATTTTCTATAATACAAACAATTTATTAATTGGAATTTATATATTTAACAATTTATAATGCAAGAAATTTATTTATATCTATGAAACAATTTTAAAAGGGTTTTGCGAAAATTCTATATAAAAATATTAAAGAAAAATGAGATAAATAAATATGCATAAATGTTAGAATTTAATAATGGAGACCCCATATTTGATATTTAAGTATATTTATGAATTATTATAAAGGGTTTTATTGTTATAAATAAAACCTAAGAATTTTAAAAATGGAGACCATATTTTATGTTTAAATATATCTATGAATTCTTTAAAAAGGTGTTTCTATTAATAATAATTAAACTAAAAAACAGTATTAAATATAAGGATATTCGTTTTAGTTGATAGTTTCTGAACAATTCTTTAACAATTAAGTATATAAACATGAATAGATATAAGAATTTTGGTTTTAGATGAGAATTTCTAAGCCATTCTTCAGAGTCAAGTTAACCAAATAAGCTTCAGAAGCTGCAAAATCCAGATCCTACATGTTCTCACAACCTCTAACAGTTTGTTGCACAGTGCCTTACATAAATGGGAATACCCTCAAGCTGCAGTGTATAATGAAAAGCTACCTTAAGCGTCGTTTATACACACTTGTGTTTTGGTGGAGGGGGGGGGGGGGCGGCACGTGCGACAGCTGAAGCAACAACTCAGGCAGGCAGGCAGGCCAGGACGGGCAACAATCCAAGGATTTAGTGTCAGCAATGTGAGAGATTCATCACAATTTAACTTTGGAGAGAAGTGGCAAATGGGAACCGAGTCAAAGTCACGTTGTGCCATGTGTGGCAATTAGTTTGGCTTTTGCCTCGCCTGCTTGAAACTAATTGTGGTACAATGTCGAAGTTTATTGTTCGCCAGTTTTCTACAAAAAAAAAAAAAAAAAAAAACACCTTAATCAAACTTGCCGCCTACTGAGCCTTCGGAGCGTTTGCCAACACTGTCCCGTAATAGCTAACTGCCAATTCGAAAATATTCAGTTTGTCGTCAAGGTTCAAGCATGAAAGGCATAAACCGAAAAAATTCTGCCAGCAGCAAAAGCTTGAAAGAACGTGCTGAAAAATATAAAAAACCAAAGTTAAATAATTCCGATTTTCAGCATGTCGTTTATGTGTCCTGGAAAAGGGGTAAACACAATCTGGGCTCCCTAATTAAAGGTAAACAAAGTAGTATATTAAATAAATCGCACGTATTTCGAGTTTTGCCACGGCCATACATATGTAGGTCGTTATTTTGTGGAAGCCCCGGTTGGCCATAAAGAAGCCTGGCTGGGCTGGGATATAAGAAAAAAGCGCGCTTGTCTCATAAAACCTAAAAATATCGGCCCATATAATAACACATATGCAAATCCAAAGTCAGTTAAACCCAGCAAGAAGCACAAAGTTAAAAATCCCAATTTGGCCAAGGTCGAGTTGGAAGACGCCAAAAGTCTAGTAAATCCCGAGCCCAAGGGGAAATTGAGCAATTGTCAAACTGATCTGTCGACAAAGGGTGAGCTGGATAATTTTCGAAAGCCAATTCCCAAGACAGTCGAAAGCAGGACATACTTAGCTGGCGCCGCCCAAATTGTAAACAACCCATGCAATAGTTGGCCCAAGCCGACTGTGAACGAAAAGCCAAAAAGTGAATGGGGAATCCTTAACCCAGCGGATCGAAGTGATGTCTGCAAGATGCAGAAGCCCGAAAGTTGGGACGTGACTCAGGGGGGCTTCAATATCCTGCCCCCTCCGCGTGCTGCTGCTGCTGCTGCTGCGTCCAAAGCCAAGGTAAACGCAAGTCGCAGGTCAAAGCTTACAAACAATAACAAAAGTTCCTTAAGTCTAAGATGCAGAAAAGTGAAAGCTGGGATGTCACAGGCGGCGGCATCAATATTTTGCCAGTGCGCCAGAGCTTGGTCAAGGCCAAGGTTAACGCAATCCCAGCTGCGATGTCTGCGGAAGGTCAAGCTGGATTGGCCAGAATTCCGAGCAGCGAGAGCTGGGATGTTACGCAAGGTGGGCTCAAGATTCTGCCCATGCCACGCGGCGTTGCGCCCAAGCCAAATGTGAGCGAGACGCCAAATTGGGACATTTCGGAAAGTGAAAGCGAATGCTCGCCAAGTCATTATGGTGGCAAAATGTTGCCAGTTCCGTTCAGCGAGATGCGCGGTCCGCAGGAAACGCCACGTTACGAGGTGAGCCTGGAGGAGACCGAAAATGCAGGCGTTACTCCCAGTGAAAATGTGCAGGATACTGGTGCGCGCATTTGTCCAATTCCCCCAAGTGAGACTCCACGTTGGGCCATCGTCCAGAGCACACGCGAGAAGTTGCCCAATGAATCGTATCGTTCGCCCATGGTCAGCGATCTGCCCAGCTGGTATATGACCAAGCACGGCAAGAAGAGTGCCACCGTGCGAATCGGCGACTTGCTGCACGGTAAGTTTTACGGATATATATATCTGTATATATCTATATATGTGCCCACCTGTGCAGAACGTTATTATATTCTGAGCATCATAACGATCAGCCATCTGGCCTCCGTTTGGCTCTGCTGGGATTTGAGGAGCAAGTGCAATGTGGTCATGAAAATGGCGGACACAACCAGGATGAGTGTCCAGTTGATTTACGGCGAGATAAATACGATTAAATCCCTGCATGCATATCAACCGAAGGATCCGCGCCTCGACAATATTGTACGCGCTTTGGATGGCTTTCAGCTGACCAGATCGCGTACCGCACAGCCCTGCCTGATCCTCGAGGCCATGGACACAAATCTGGCCAAATATGCTGAGCATTATGTTGGATCTGTCATACCGCTGGAGGTGCTCAAGTGCATTACACGCCGTGTTCTCTCCGGCCTGGAGTATCTGCATAGTGTCGGGGTCGTGCACGCGGACATTAAGCCGGAGAACGTCCTGGTCACCGCCTGCATGCTAAGCAATTGCGAGAACTGTCCGGACAAGCGGAAAGTGTGCTCCAAGCTGCACATAAAGATTGCCGACTTTGCGAATTCCTCGGGCATGAACGGATGCATTGCGGGCGAGATCCAAACGCGCGCCTATCGCTGCCTGGAATCGATATTGGGCTCGGATTGTGGGACGCCCTCCGATATCTGGAGCGTTGCTTGCATGGTCTTTGAGCTGGCCGTTGGCCGGTTTCTGTTTGCGCCCAATTATGACAATACTATTTCGCCCGAAGAGCATCATTTGGCTCGCATCATCGAGCTGCTGGGGCCCATACCACATCAGATTGTCTTCCGGGGCCGCGATGCATTGCGCTATTTCAATCCGTACGGCAAGCTGCTCAACAGCATCGACATGGAGCCCAAGAGCCTGGTGGAAGTGCTGATGGAGCACAATTGGTGCCGGCTGAATGCGATGGTCTTCGCCTCCTTTCTGACGCCCATGCTCGAATACGAGCCGAAGAAACGAGTCACCGCCAGCAAGTGTCTGCAGCATCCCTGGCTGATCTAAATGAAAGGGAATTCCCGCGAAACCCAAATGGAATTATAGCATTGACAATGGCCCGGGGAGTAGCTTTTGTTAGCTTCTCGCTGCTGCGTGTCATTATTTAATGAACATATAATAAAGGGTACGCTGGAGCGGGTAATGTTGCCTTATCTCTGGCTAATCGAAAGCTCACCGCCGCCGGCTCTAAAACTAAACGCAAACACGGCACACGCAAACGGCGACAGCTCGTGTATGTGTGTGTGTGTGTGTGTGTGTGTGTGGCAGAGGTGAAGAGATGAGCGCGTGAGAAATACATTTTATATAGTTTTGTGGACAGGAAAAAGTTGGTTAAAAACGTTTCAATTTGACTTTAAGATCTCTCTTTGTTTTCTTATGGGCACAATTTTACATTTCTATTTTTTAAGAGAGCAAAAATATCTGATTTACTTTTGGCAACATTTTCAATTTTTAGTATATATATTTTTTAAAAGAGACTCTCCTTTTTAGAGTTTCTACAACTTCTGATTCTAGTTTTCCACACAATAATTATACCCTGAACCCATTGAAAATAGGTAAAAAGGGGTATAATGTATTTGTGCGAATGTATGTAACAGGCAAAAGCCATAAGGCATATATATTCTTGATCAGCATCAATAGCCGAGTCGATTTAGCCATGTCCGTCCGTCTGTCTTTCCGTCCGCCCGTCCGTATGTATGAACGCAAGGATCTCCGAACCTATAAGAGCTAGAGACTTGAAATTTTACCTGTAGGTCCTCCTAGTGACCGCGCAGATCGAGTTTGTTGCCGATATTCGATAACTTGCCCCGTTGCCAAGTAATCGATAAAAAATAATATGAGCTAGAGTCGCCAAACTTGACATTTAGCTTCTAGAATAGTATATATATATCAAGTGTCTTTCGCTTTTAATAATTGTCAGGCTTTTATATTTTATATAGTACATAAAGCATTGACAGCTGCCACTTATCGATCTGTTGGCATATCCATCTAAGCTATATGCCCTTTGATATGCTATTCAGCTGACATATTAATTAGCTGAAATTCCTATTTAAAATTTCAATAGAAAGTTGCGTTGTTTATTGAGCCCTTCGTGCAGCTCTTGGCTATCTCTCCATTAAATTAATTAATAAAATTGCTTTATATCGATTGTATTCAGATATTTATACAGAATTTGGTTAAAGTGAATTGAATGCTGCCGCTCACGTACCCAGCTCAAACAACCAGCTAAAAGGCAACACATTTGTCAAATAACAAACAACACACACACACACACACACACACAGGCATACTTTTACATGTGTGTGTGTGTGTCGTTCTGTTAGTGTTGACAGCTAAATGGAGGCAAGTTTTCCGCATGACATTAGCATGCAAATTGCCAAATTGAAATTGTCATTCACATTAGCCGCCTCTTGACTTGCTGCTGCTGCGATTGTCTATTTGTATCCAAACAAAAATCAATATATAAATCGGGCTTAACACGTCATTTGTCTTGGATTTACCTTTATTAGGCCGCCTAATTGGAGTTTGAGTGCAGGTAACTAGGCACAACAAATCGATAGAGTGTACAAAATGTTGGCCAAAAATAAATCCCAAATTACAAATTGCCTTAATTCCATTAATAACGAATGCCGCAAAATTGCTTGATTGATTGATTGATTGATTGATGGATTGAACGATTGACGAACTGACAACTGAACATTTGGGCCACACTAATGGCGCTTTAATTTGACGCTCTTGACGGTTTTTAATAAACCCATCGGAAAGCGCTTAATAACGCGCACGTGGCATATTTCTAGGCGCTTCTCCAGGCGTTGGCCCGGCAACCCTCTAATTGGTAGTTTAATTAAACATTTGGCAAATCGCGTGTAATACTTGGCCAAGCGCTTGGCAGGTCCACGCAGCGGCCCGGCTCTTTGAAGTGGCCAACACTGCAGTTTTGGCCAATTATCGCTTTTGCAATTCATTTAGTTCACTCGGCCCTTAATGGCCGCCCCCTTCCCTCCCCCCTCTCTCTCACTCTCTCTGCCAATAGTACGTGCCTTAGTTGTTAGTTAACCCGCACATAACCTTCACCCCTTCTGCCGCTCATTACTTTGACTTACATGCCAGCAATTAAAAGACAATTTATGTGGCCAAAAGTTGTGCCAGCAAAGTTGGCTCACACACACACACACGTACACATAGCCAGGCTGCAACTTTTGCCATCGGGGCGAATGTTAATTTTGTTATTCTTTTAAAGCAGCATCAACTCAAAGTCAACCATAAAAACACAAGAACATGTGGCGAGGGTGTGTGTCGTGGTTTTTAAAATACCCTGTATTCATTGAAAGTAGATAAAAAAGAGGGTATGTTGGTATGTGCAAGCTTATGTAATGGACGTGCAGAGGCATGACCGACACCATAAATTATGTAAATAATACTTCTGAATTAGTTTTGTCCGTCTGTCTATTCGTCTGCCCTGCTATCCGTCCGTCTGTCTCTCTATCCATATGTCTGTCAGTTCGTCCGTGTGTCCTCCTATCTGTCTGTCACTCCGTCTGTCTGTCTGACTGTCTCTCCGTCTATCTGATAGATAGAAGTTTGAAACATATATTCTTTTATATTATATGCAAAACGAGTTTATCATTTTTGTCGATATGTCGTCTCATTTCCAATCTATCGATAAAAATCGATTTTAAGACTTGGTTCTTAAAGCACAACTCGAAAACTTTAAGAAGATATATAGACTATGTTCGCTTTTGGATAACACAGTCAGAAAATGCTATAAACCAAAATAATGTATTGACTGATGGGTACAGGGGATGTTGTAGTCGAGCATACTCGAATGCAGCCTTGTCTGACTTGTTTACCTTGGCAGCAATTGCGCTGCAAGAGCAGTCGAGCGTAACAGGCTGCCTGATACTCGTTCACAGTTAAATAAAAACTAAAAGTAGGTTATTTTATGAAGGGATACTCTTGGGCAAAGCGAATGGATCCTTTGAGTAGTTCGTGAGCAGTCTTCATTCCAAAAATCGCAAGAGATATACATGTAGGCGATGTGCCACGCCCCATGTACATATATATAATAATAATATCGTTTAGCTATTCCCATTTCCAATCCTCCCAGTTCACTTTCAAAAGATGACCTTTGCACCAATCGGATATACTCTTTTTCTCACTGTGAACGAGTATAAGAAACTGTGTAAGCCTCTGCAGCAATTGTAACTTTTATGCTTTTGCTGAAAGTTACGACCACACTGAAATCTCAACTCTTCAATTATTGACTATCAGAGTTTAGTCCTTATAGATGCTCATGGGTTGCGATGCGTCCTGCATTAGCAATCAGCCAGGCCGTGATGGATAGACCAGGCTTCACTGTCAATTTCGTCTATTTCGAATTGTTTCGCAATTTCCAACAGTGCGAAGTTTCTCTATTTTTGTTTATGAGCAACAAGTACGCAATGCGTACAATTGTTTTATGCGTGCGTCTACTGCATCGCAGGGGGCTTCGTCAAAAGCATACCAAATATTCAGCTCGCAGCTGGCGGGCTTCGGCAAAGCCTGCAACCTATTCCTTGTGTTTTCTTTGTGTGCTTTAAGTTTAACTATCAAGGTGTTCGAATTGCTGGATAAGGTTTTCAAAGCTTGTGCCATTTTCTAAAATAATAAATCCAGCTAAGTTACCTTTATGAAACTCTGCTTAGTCCTGCTTACATCTTACTATTGCAGCTGAATACATATGTCAGGATCTGGCCATATCATATAGCTGCCATAGAAAGGATTGCTCGGAAACAAAGTTCTTTTATGAAAAGCTTAGTTGTTTCTTAAGATATCTTGACCAAGCTTTGCAGTTACGAGTCTTACATAAAAGCAAAATCGTATAAGCATCAGCCTACAATAACATATAGCTCTTTGGGTAGGAAAGGTCGAAATTACAGGATTGGTAGGATTACAGAAATTTATGTAATACCGAAATCAATTAATTTGGTATTTTACAACACTTTTTAATGCCAGCTATCTGCTTAGTTCTTATAACGAAGCTATTTATTAGATGGTTAATATTTAATTCCAATTTTTACGTCAGCATTAAAGCCGACTTTTCCGAAACAATTATTTCAAGAATGTTTGTTTATCATGACGAACATCACGCGCCATGGTGTGACAACAGCCCGAGTGTCCTCAGGGAGAAGGACATAAAAAAAAAAGGGGGGCGCATAATAAAGTCGCTGAGTACCTTTTTTTGGCCTAATTTTTGGTAGCTGTTCGCGCTGAGCGCAGCAACTTAATTTACCTGATGAATGTTTTTACTGCCTTTAGAGCAGAGCAGCGTGTCAAATGAATTCATTTGCTTGGCCAGCATTAATATTTATAAGCGTGGCTAAACAATGTGCTCAACATTTTGTTGTAATAATTTAATCGCTGGGTATTTAACAACTTTTGCAAGCAACTTGCCAAGCCAGAGAGAGGAGAGAGGTTAAGCGTTGGCCAGACGCAACGCAACAACGTGGCCGGAGCTGCAAAACTTTAACGCTTGAGTTGAGTTTGCAAATTGTTTGGTCAGCTTCTACTAGGTGACAAACTTTGGCCAGGTCGCGCGGGGGCGGAAGCTGGAAGAGACGGGCAGGTGAAAGAGTATGAAGCCAAAAAAACCGCAATCGCTTTACATTTTCAATTTGCAACTAATCTAAATTACATGATACGCGCACAATTTGAACGCTAATGAGCGGGGACGCGCTGACAGCAGCAGCAGGAAGCAGGGGGTGGGGGGGGGGGGGGGGGCATCTTCGGTTACAACGTTGCGTATGCGCAACATATTGCGTGTGAATTTTAATTAAAAAGTTTTTCACACTTACCCAAGCAAGATAATCGTGCCGCAAACCGCGCGTCCCTCCCCCTTTCCCCCTGACAATGGGACGTAACGGATGTTGTTGCTGTCGCTCCTTCGAACTGCATCGATTTTCCTGCTAAGCAATTTTCCAAGCATGTTGCATTGTTGTTGTCAAGTTGCTTTTCATTTAGATTTAATTATATGTAACTGCAGGGCATGGCAGGACAGGGCCTGGCCTGGCCTGGCCCGTCATGGCTCGGCATAACATTAGATGTCATCCCCGGGGCGGCCAATTGATTGTATTAGTTGTGGGTTTTGTTGTGCCCGGCCAGTTGCTAGGTAATTAAACGCTTACACATTAACCTATGCTGTCACACACACACACACACACGCACACCTGCTGCTCATTTGGCCGCAAATTGACTTATTAGCTGATGGCTA